CCAATGTAAGTGATCTTGCTTCCGTCCTCAGAGAGGACCACACAAATGTTGGGAAGTTGTTTGGCTTTGTATTTGCAGTCACACTTGTAGTGACCTTTGGCTCCACAATTGAAGCATTTAATTTCCAAACTGGAATGTCTAATGTTCTGTTTGCATTTGTCAATGTCCATCACATCAGGATCTGAGGAACCTCCATGGCAATGAATGAACTTTCTTTCATACCAAGATTCCTTCCCTTCCAGGATATGCTTCATCACAATCATGGTTCGAGCTTCTCCCATGCACTGTATCCACTCTATGACTGTGGAGGGGGCATGTCCAGAATTGAGAACCCAGTCATGATATTCTTTATTCAATCCTTTTCTGAAGAAGATCCCTGCTTCACACGATTCTTCTTTGAGTTGAGCCTTATTGACAAGCCCTGTAAACTTGGCTATGTACGCTTCAAGTTCGCATTTGCCTTGGGTGATGTCAGAAAGGTGGAGTATTGCCAGAGCAGTTTGGTTGCCAGACTTGAAAGTAGCTTTAAGATGCTCGATGAACCTTTGGAAGGTGTCGGTGTAATAGATTGTCCTGTCAAGAAGCTTGTTTTCATTTTGGTAGTTTTTGGTGAACAAAATGGCTGTGCCTTTTGTCATGTATGTGAAGGCGAACGAAATCTTGAGCAACTCCATGTTGTACACATGCTTGTTCAGGTTCAAATACCCTTTGACCTGTGTAACCCAGGTCTGAAGCCCATTGTGGCTTCCATCATATTCTCCGGTGTCACACACCAAAGGTTTTTGGTGAGGTGGACATGGATGTAGCTGATGAATGGAGGTGAAGACCATAGCCCTCATGCAAAGAAGGACAGCCAGCAATGTCAGCAGTCATCCCTCGCACAAGAACAAGTTGTCAATGCCAAAGAAAAAGGAGGAGGCAAGTTAAGCGCCAATAAAATTCTTAAGTGCCCGTGTATGGCATTCCGGTTTTCGACATATCTCCACCAATTCTGCAGACACCGAAACCATTCCCACACTCGCTTGTAGTGCTCAGCCACACGATCCTACCTTCCAAGATTGGAAAGGATTTGTGCACTCCACACCTTTCTACAGCACTCCCTCCAAAAGATGCTCATTTCGCTAATTCTTCTGATATGGCTGCCTCCACATCAGTCATTTCACTTGTCCCCTTTGCTAGGGACCATGGCTACATATATCTACCAGGAGTTCCTACCAGCTTCCATCCTGAAGCATCCTGGTACATCCCACCCTCATTTGCCCCCTCTCAGCCCATCCAGCTTGGACAGTGTGTTCTTTTTGTCAGTATGACCTCCAGGAGGACGTTCTTTGGTCGCCTCAGGTCTGTCATTCGCTTGGAAAGGTCTTATGTGGTCGTTTCAGTCTCTCCAGTCCAAGAAGCATATGGATCCTTCCTCCCTGCCCCCTGCAACATCTTTATACCAGTCTCGTCCGTCGTTCTTCCAAAATTGTGACAGCTACAGTATAATCTACTGTTCTCCACTCTCCCTGATCGCATCCATGATGAGTATGATGCACATCTTGCCTCCTTGTTGCAAGATACAGCAGAAGACACTCCCCCTTCATCCTCTCTTCCAACAGAGCCTCATTCATGAAGTTTGTATTTGCTTCACTGAGAGGATGGTTTGGGGGGGAAAGTTGTGATCCCCTATGCTCCTGTCACCCCACAGACCCCCAAAGCTTGACCCCTGTTGACATCTGACTCACCCTGTCTGCTTTTGGATGTACTATATCGGCATCAGATCAGCACTGCCTCTCTGTCATCCCACTTTGGCCTAGAAGTGATCTCTTTGAGATGTGACATGCACGGCCTCCCCCTAATGTGATTCCAGTGCACTTTCCCAGTACCTGACATTGCTTGACTCATACTGTGACATTCTGACTGTCTTTGACTCACCTATTGCCAATACTTACCAATCTTTTGACTTTGCTCACTGATTCTTCGCTTTTTGGCTTACTTATCCTTACCAATGCTTACCAATGCTTTCCAAGATGATTACCCATTGCTTACATTCCTTACTCATCAGTTACCAATCACTTACCAAGTGTTTGCACCTTGTTTTCCATAGGCAATGCCCCTGTACTGTATATAAGTCACTGTACTTAGGTAGCAAAAAAAAAAGAAGACATCAGAGAGCCCCTCTTGCTCACAATTTATCATCTCTCAGTAAATCATTCATCAGCTTTGATAGTTGAGACTTTATTAAGGGTCTAGCTATCATCTACTTCGCTCATCATCATCTATCATCCATATACTTCGCTCCAAGCCCTCCCTGAGCTCAGTACAGCTTAGGACATCGAATTAAGTCACCATCCATCCTTCTGTAGGCTGACAGCAGTCTACCCTATTGCTTTCTATCACATTCTTGCTCCCTCTCTGTCAGGAGCACCCCCAACCCTCAGCACTCATCTTTGAGTGTTGTAGCTTGCAAAAACCCTCCCAAAGAACAGGTTCTACCATCTAGGTACCACATAGGCACACCACCACTCACTTCCATTGTCTTTTGTGTTGGTTTTGGTTGGTTTTCACCACTGAACCTCACTTTGACTCACACTGGGACGCCTGACATTAAACTCCCAACCTCTGTTGGGTGGGCAGCAATCATACTGGTTGTCAGGATCAGCTGGGGCCTTACCCTTACTGGACCCTCCAACAGGGACCTCTGGAGGAATTACCTTTCTGAAGTTCCTGGCATACCATTCACGTAATGCTGAGTCCGTAGGCGTTCCTGTTGGAAAAGGGTTGCTACTCCAGGCATGCATTGCCTTGTGAAGCTCTTCTGCCATAGTGAGTCTTTGTTCTTCCAACCTGTGTCTCAGCTCCTCTTTGGAAATGTTCCTTGGGGGCATTTCAGGAGCTGACTCTCCATGACCGAGTGTCATGGACATATCTGGTGCTTTGCATGCTTCTTGTTCTTCCTTGAGGACTGATCTGAACGAAGTATCAGACTTCTGATCATCTTCTTCTTCTGAACTAGGTGCAACTTCCAAATCCCTAAACCAGGACAGATAAGATAAATGAGGATTTGTCAAGGTAACTGAAGGTCCTAGTCTTCCTAGCAGGATGGGCAGTAGCAGGGGATTCCTGCTGAGCCCAAGTGGATTTGGATGAGGAGGGACAGGGGGTCTCAACTTCTGGGGATTAGACACTTTAACAAGAAGTGATAATGAAGGCTGAGGGAGGATTTATTTCTCAAGAGAAACCTGTCAGCATAGGGGGTTGTTTATAGTGTGCAAGTGGCTTTACACATAGAGAGACATGAGTGCAAACTCTAGGGAGGTGATCTATTAAAGCTTAGTGGCTGCCTGTAGAGCGGTGGATTTGATTGAGGGTAGAGGGATGCTTCTCAATTTTGTTATCATTTGTTAGATGAGTTGAGAAGCGAGAGAAGGCAGGTTAGTCTTTGCACTGAGGGAAACCAACGAGCCTTTGACTGGTAGTAGAGTTGGTTTGTTGAAGTTCAGTAACCAGGGACAAGTAGACTTTTGTGAAGAGGTTGATGAGTCCCAAAAGCTGTGTAGAGTTTTTCGATTTTGTTATGCCTGAGTGTGGTGACTTCTTCAAATGGAATAGGCATGAAGTGTGTGAGGTGGGAGTCTACAGGCTGAACTTGTCATAACCCCTATGGCTGAGTTATCGCAATGATCCAACAGAGGTTCTGTCTGCTGGCAAGTCCCTAAGGTTGTTCGCATGGAGAGAGAATCAAGGATAAGAGCAAAGGGATGAAGCTCAGTTGCAAGCTATTGAAATACTGCAGATACAGGATGAAGTACGTAGGTTTATATACCTCTAAGTACGAGTACCGTACCAGTTGTGACAGATGCATATCCACAGTAATCAACAATCCCATCAATGAAATAAATAAGAGTCATACAGTGTCAATGATGGGGGTAGGGAGGTAATGAAGGCTATACTGGCTGGCACAATCAATGTGCAGTGAGGAGCCAGACACTGGAGCTATAGTACAGCAATCAAGCAATATAAATGAGTCAGAGAAGAGTCAAAAAGGAGAGAACATAACAAGTCGTCCATCAGAGAGAGCGGTGGAATGCCAGATCACAGTGGCAATGTGGTCTTGACAGGTATTGGAAATACCTGGACAGCAGGAGATCTGAAGGTTCCCTGGAGCATTTGAGCCCCTAGGATGGTGACAATTATTAGGGACACAACAAGGCATGTGACACACGTGACCATGAGGAATCGAAAAAGGAAAGACCCCTGACAGAAGCATAACAGATATTCTATTTGAAGCCTCTCCATGTGACACCTAAAAATGTAATTGCAGCTGATTCATCTGTCACCCATGACAATACAATTGTAGCCAATCCTGAATGACACATGCCCACATAATTACAGCTGATCCCTACATTATGGTGACAACTTGTAGGTTGGCTTGACCTCTGCTGGCCTGTGTCACATGGCCAATTGTCAGCCTCTGCTGGCTGTGTCACATGGCCTAACTAGGTACATGGGCTCAGCTTGCATTTGAAGCATGCACAGTGATTACATTTTAAGATACCCCCTGAAAGATGATGTGTTGAGGTCAACCATACATAGAATGATCAACAAGTCTGAGGTCTGCAGATATTCCATTGCCTTGTTTGTTGGTATCAATCCTCATGTTCAGGTCGAGGTATGTTGGTCTGGATTCTTGCTGCTGAACACAGATCAATCACTTCTTCTAGCCCATGCCGAGTTGTATATCCCCTGAGAGACCACCCAAGTACGCACCTACCTCTGCAGGGGACCACGTCCAGACGCGTCTGAACGAGACCTATCATCGAAACGCCTCCCTGAGCGACTAGGTATGATGAAAAATGAGTCGTTTTAGACACAGTTAACCCATATGCTCTCAATTTTATTCCTGAATGCTAAATACAGAAATGCTTTATAGGACGCTTCCACAACCTTAACTACGTAACGAACGTTCGACTTGGGGAGTTGCACCAGTACAGGTTACCTGATCACGCCCATGAACCTTCTGGGAATATTGGTCAGCGCTGAGAAGATTTCGTTGGCTGAGTGGCTCCATATCAGCGCGCATGCCCATAATGAAGTTTCATTTCGTTTCTTATCAGATGAGTGTTGCGTACTTATACCAAGGGTGAATCGTAAGGCTGCGCCCGTGAGCGAGCCTTAAGATGTCTCTGGCAGAAACTGCGGCCTCTGTGAGTGGCGCCTTCGATAGCATACCCATCATGTGCGTGGTTTCCTACGTTCTCCAGCACTACCTAAGCTCTCTTATCGGACAGCGATATAGGACATGCGTCGACACCTGAGGAACGGGCTGCGTTGGCTCGGCAGATCAGGGATGCTTGCATGAATGTTGGGTTCTTTTACAGTGAGCACAGACCCTCCTGTCTTAATATCTATGATTTCCCAACGAGCGACTCGCAGTTAGCAACCATGGTATACCCCAGGAGACCATTGGCAAGGTCTGTTCGGCCATGGAAGCTTACTTTTCTCTCCCACTGGAGACGAAGATGAAGGTAAGCCTACGTCCTCACATCACTTGATCTTTGGCTCATCTGGAGAAGCTTTACCACAGAGATAAGAATTTCAGGGGATACGAACCCGTGTTCAGCTCCAACGCCGACCCAGCCAACAGAGCCGACCTACATGAAGGCTTCATATTTGGTTGGGAAGAATTGGTGCCCAAGGAAAACGACGAAAAGCGAACGAATGATGGTGCCATGGCTGGTGCGAATGTATGGCCCTCGGAACCCTCTGGGTTCCGTGAAGCTTGCCTCAATTATTAGTACGCTCCATTCTAACATACCGTTCGAGTGTGCCTCATTCCGTTCCGTGGTGAAGCCATGCAGCAGTTGGTGTCGGAAGGGTCCTGTTCCACTTATTTGCCCTTGCATTGGATCTCCCTGCAACATACTTTGATGACAAGGCACGGTCGCGCCTACGTATCCAATTGTCTTAGCTGACGGTTTTCAGACCAAGAATTCTGCTGCATCCATGCGTTTGATCCATTACCCACCTCAAACTGGTCCCGAAGGCGATGGTATCGTTGGAATCGGTGCACACTCAGAGTGAGGCATCCCACCTATTCCCTTGAATCTGCCCTGACAAACCTCTTCATAGTTTCAGGGTTGGGGGTCTCATCAAAGCATATAGAATCTCGAACTGAAATGACATGCAGTGTTTCACCATCTTATGGCAAGAACCCGATATTCAGGCTCTTGAACTACTGAACTCCGAGAAGCAATGGGTAAAGGCACCACCGATCCCCGGAACGCTTGTTATCAAGTGCGTGGAAGCTTGAATGACATCTGAATGATCTGACTGCTTGCAACTAGCATTGGTGACCAACTTGCACGATGGACGAGTGAGTGTCAATCCAGGTATACATACTGATTCCTGTCTCTCACGCTCTCCTGGTAGACGACGTATTTAGGTCGACCGTGCATAGAGCGATCAACAGGAGCGGCGTTCGTCGATATTCCATTCCTCTGTTCTTCGGCACGGATTATCACGTCCAGATCGAAGTAAGTAGGCCTTGCTTGTCACTACGGCACCCAGATCAATCACCCCACCCAGCCCATGCCGAGTTGTGTATCCCCTGAGAGACCGCCCAAGTACGAACCCGTCGCTGCAGGGGACTACGTCCACCAGCGTCTGCAAGAGGTGTATTACCAAGACACCGCTACCTCTTGATGTGGCTGGGCAACTTGTCGAGGAGTCAATTTATAATTGAATGCACGCTTTTTACATAGCACGAGTGGTATTTGTTAGATAGGTTTCCAGCCTCGTCTCCCGCATCTTGTTAGCGGTTGCGTCCCGTTCTTCAGTCGTTAGTTCCAGTTGGGCAATTGCCAATATTGCTGACTAGCAGCGTATTTCTGTAAATTTCGGCCAATAATTCAATCATTGCGGGTGCTCGCAATGCTTATACACATTCTTCAATGGCGCACTTCTAATTGCTATTCGCTGAAGGTAAGCCTATCACACTCTTGGGTAGAGCCCGACTTGGTGATGCAGCATTACCTGTCCTACTGATGTATCAAACCTTACCACTGTAGCATACCTGTGATGCAAGATCACCTAGCTCTGTTAGGCCCAGTGTGATGCATCATTCTAGTGTAAGTTAAAGTGTGATGCATCATATTATGCCACTATCCTCTTTTGGCTGCTGTGCCACCCCATGCCACCATCAACAACCTGCAGCAAGCCACCCCCCCATGTAACATGCTTCTTTTGGTAGTCATCAGCAATTTGTCACCCTGACTGTGACAACTGCATGGACTGTTGACAAATCCAACAGACCAACAGACATCACAGTAAAGTGACTGTGAAAAGGCATGTCATTTATGTATGCAGTCCCATCACCTGTACACAGTTCACATTTTTGTAGGATGACAAGCTGAAGGATTGTCAAGTCTATAGAAAGGAATATACTCACACTTCAAGTTGGTTGAAGCTGAGGTGCAGTAAGAAAAATAAACTGCTAAGTGTCCGCTTTTGGATTATGTAATGCTGTGCTCAGTGAACCACAACTAAGGTAAAAGTGATAAACTCCAACACACATGCAGACTGGAAAGTTCACTTGCAGTTGCACACAGTAAGCACATGGACAGATTAATTCAGACATAGCAGTAGGACAAAGGGTATAGCAGGGCCAGACCTCTATCTACATGATCAGGCACCTTTCTAGCTCTCTTGCCTGGTGCTGCTCAAATTGATATGAGGCACTTGGGCAAATGTTGTTCACAAATCAATGACTGGACAAACTGGCCACAGCACACTTAGTATACTCACAGAAGGGTATGTTGGAGACCCCATGTAGTCCATTTAGTCACAACATATAGGTAGCCTGTGTGCCAAAATGCCAACACTTATATAGACCCTGTGACAGGCCTGTCTAAATAGATTAGCCATGACACATGGACAGGCCTGAGGGCCTATAGTGAGAGCAACATACGTACAGGCCTGTAAATGCAATTCCACAACATATGGGAGGGCCTGTGGAGGGTAAGGATGCTGCAACATATAGATGGGCCTGTGACCAAGTAAGTATGCTAAGCTACTGTAAGACATGGATGGGCCCACCTATTTTATCATGAAGAAGGTTGCAACATATGGATGGGCCTGCCTGTCATATGCTTTATAGGGTCACAACATAAAGAGGGGCCCATCAATGATAGATTACAGAGTTGGCAACATATGGATGGGCCCAGGAGTAATATCATTTATGGTGTCACAACATCTAGACAGGCCCATCCATAGCAAGATGTATGCCTGTCACAACATAAGGACAGGCCCGTCAGTAATATCATTGACAGCATCACAACACATAGACAGGCCCATCTAGTAAGATGCATCCCTGCCACAACATAAAGACAGGCCTGTCAGTAATATCATTTACAGTGTCACAACACATAGATGGGCCTGTCAGTAATATCAATCACACAGTCACAACACATGGACAGGCCCATCAATAGCAACATGTATGCCTGTCACAACATAAAAATGGGCCTGTCAGTAATATCATTTACAGTGTCACAACACATAGACGGGCCTGTCAGTAATATCAATTACATGGTCACAACACATGGATGGGCCCATCAATAGCAACATGTATGCCTGTCACAACATAAAGACAGGCCCATCAGTAAGATCATTTATAGTGTCACAACATATGGAAGGGCCTGTATAGTAAGATATGCCCCTGTCACAACATGCATGAGACAGGCCCATCAGTAATATCAATTACATGGTCACAACACATGGACAGGCCCATCAATAGCAACATGTATGCCTGTTGCAACATAAAGATGGGCCCATCAGTAATATCATTTACAGCATCACAGCACATAGATGGGCCTGTCTAGTAAGATGCACCCCTGTCACAACATAAAGACAGGCCCATCAGTAATATCATTTATAGCATCACAACATATGGAAGGGCCCTTCAGCAGTATCATTTATGTGGTCACAACATAAGGACGGGCCCTTCAGCAGTATTATTTATATGGTCATAACATATGGATGGGCCCTTCAGTAATATCTTTTATATCACCATAAAACAAGGATGGGTCTGTCTAGTAAGATCCACCCCTGTCACAACATAAGACAGGCCCAACACCAATAGCATGTATAGTGTCACAACATATTGATTGGATCACAGCAAAATATTGAGGCAAGCATCCTGACATGCCATAATTTTCCAACAAGCTACAAGTGGCTCGCCCACTATACAACTCTGACCTCATCCACCCCAAGCATGAATACTATGCAAGACATGTCTAAAACCCCCCATGGATGGTGAATGGAACTAACAGACTGCATTGCATCATACATGAAAGCCAGATTTCAAGAGGAGGTACTCAGCAGACCTCACACCCTTCCAGATATATTGATTCCATTTCTGGTGTTATGTGAAGTGGATCACATATCATCAGTAATCTCACAGGCCTATCATCACCCAAGTAAGTCCATCATAATGGTGTGATGGGAGTTTTCATCTTTCTGCAGTCAACATCAGGAAAAATCAGGGTGGAAAAACCTGCAATGCAGAAGCTGCTGAGAGATATGTGGAAGTGACTGAGCTGTCCATTCTGGTGACTGACTCAAACACCATCTGCATTTGGTATTTGCTGGATGCTCTCAGCCCAAAAAGAAGGGTAAGGGAATGCAGAATCTCATATTCTACTGACTTAATGCAATGGCAGGCCAACATATGGAACTGCCTTCATCCTCTGAGGGAACCACTGCGGGAGAGCATAAAGGCCTCCCCACAGGCATGGCAGATGGACAAGTCATATTTCAGCAATAATGCTGAGTTGAAAGGCACCATCAACCTGTCACCTGCATGGTTTCAACAGGGTCATAGGGTGGGTGATCATTTCTTTCCTTGTGAATAAAGCACTCATCTGTCTTGAAGCCCCAAAATGGCTTCCTGGAAGCCTCATGGCTGCTCAAATCCAGGATGGAAAACACTTCTACAAGGGAATGGGTCAACCAAATGTCCGACACCAATACCCTGTTATCTGTGATCCTGCATGTCATCCATCCACAAATGTATGCAGATGGCAGGGAAGCATTGATCTGCCTTGGCAAACAGGTGGAACAGTGGGCAGATTTGGATATGAGCTCCATACTGCTGATATGGAGCTCCACATATAGCAGCATGTCCATGATGGTGCATTGGGCAACTTGTTACCACAGGGATATCAATGGACAGGATCCATGGTATGACATGCTGGTAACCGTGGGTGACTACCCACCCTTGGACTTTGTCATTCCAATGTTGAATCTGCGGCTGCACTATAACCCAGGGATGATCATTGCATTTTCAGGTTCAGCACTGGAGCATGGGGTGGGAGCTGTAGACAGTGACAGAGCATGCCTGGTGTACTACATGTGTGCCAATGTACATCAGTCAGTGCACATTCCCATGTGTCAATCACTGCAGATGGACAACCTACTATCTAGACCAGTTGCAACTGGAGAACTGTTGATTTGAAGCTGCAAAATTTAATGTAAGATTTAGTAGGCAATGTGGATCTTGTATTTTATTAGGATATGCCGGCTCTTGAACTTTGGATGGGTGGTGTTGCCAAGATTGTGCAAATGGGTGGGTGCTTTGACATCATAGATTGGGTGGGTACTCAGAGCTAAAGGGTGTGCATCATAAACTGCAAAAAAAATAAACCTACTCAGGCCATCATGCAGATGGGTGGACTGTTGGACATCGTGTGGATGGGCAGGGGTTCAGACATCATGCAAATGGGTGGCATCTCATAAATGATCAACATTTATAGCAATGTATATTCAACCAACTCCACAGTCAAAAACACGTAAACTATTGAAGTGGCATGCCAAACAACCCATGCAATGCCCACCACCTAGCGTAGAAATGGTCAATTTGTCAACCCCAACCATTGACAACATTGGCATATTTCTGAATATTTTTGATGCAGTAGTTTACCTGCTCCTTGATATGGCCATCGAGACAGTCTGTGATTGGTGCCTCAGGCAATGGCCATAAGCCCTGGGCCATCATCAACTATTTGCAGCGATGAGAATAAGCAGCATACCTTAAAAAAATCCCAGGCCACGGAAAACAATCCCTTGCATTGCAATCTTTGGGAATCTGCTGCATATTCCTCAGAATGATATAGCCACCAAGGGAATGCAAAGCTGGAATTGGGATCAGCTGTGTGTGGGGTCCAATGTGGGATGATGGTGCTGATATTGTTGATTATGCTAAATGCACTAAGGGGAATTAGCTGCATTTGATTGCAGAAGCTATCCTCATCATCTTGGTGTCTGAGGTATGCATGGTAGCATGCCAGGAGGGGAGGAGTATAACTGGCATGCAACACCATCACCAGAATCAAGCTATTAAGCTGATTCTGAAGGAATTATGTATCAGTCCCACATTGTGAAAAATTGATGTAAAACCTACCAAGTCCATTGCTAGGTTTGTGGACCAATGTGCAGGCCATCCCATGATATTGGCAGTCTGCTTCAGATGTACAGAGGCCACCTCGATCTGGCATGCCAAGTAGAGGATACCCATCTCTACCACAGACTGGCGAGATGGGTGTGATTGGCTGGCAATGAATGGCTTGGGACAATTGTCAAAGGCAGAATGCAGATAACAAACAACTTCCATCAAATCAAGCATATTGACAAGTCAAAGGCCCTGAGAGGCTGCACCATACTGGTCCCTTGCAGCTGTGCCCAATTCTCTTGCAATGGCATTTGCAGCCCACACAAGGTGCCTATCAAGGGTGGGATCGAATGGTGTGTCGCTGGGAGTGGTGTTTCTGCAATAGCAAGATACTGCAGCATGTAAGGCATGCAGGACTAAAATTATCAATGTCAACAGTGTATCAGATTAAGCTCATGCCCATACCTTGATCGCATCATGGAACAGGTGCCAATCCCCATTGTTCCATTTGAAGAGATTGCTGTGTGGATGGAAGTTCACCTACATAATCAATGGATATCACTGATCACATGAATAGAACCAAATAAATGCTCACTGTTGCATATTTCCATGAAAAGATCCCTCATCTCTGATCATTTGGGCATGCCAAAAGTCAAATGATTTGTGCCATTGTCCTCATCCACTGCCAAGTCAAAAGATTTGATGGGTACATTTGAAATGAGTGGGGGAGGCATTGGTTCCCTCATATCCTGCAATTGAGCAAGCAGGTTAGTCAGAGAATCAGGTCGAGGAGATCGGTCCCTCAGATTTGATGATTCACAGGTGATGGGCAGAGGAGATAGTTCCCACACATTCTGCAAGTCTGCCAGAAAATCGACCTGCATAGTAATGTCTTGTGCAGGTGTTGAAGACTTGTCCATCCTGTTTAATTTCTTGTGTGTGACTGGCAGTGCTGATGGTTCCCATGCATTCAGCAATTGCTTGAGTAGATCCACATTCATACCATCCACTGGGGGAGCAGTTGGTTCCTGTTCATTCAGGAACTGATTCATCAAGTTGTTGTGTGGATCTATTACTAGAAAATTAGTTTGTTTGTTAGCTTGAAGGGCAATCATGCCAACTCACCAGCCACAATTCTGCCCTCTGCCAGAGCAGTTGGCTCCCTTTCCTGCAGGAACTGATCCACTAAGCTTTTGCATGAATCTATAGCAAAAGAATGTTTGTTGTTTAGCTTGGAGAGAAATCATGTTCACTCACCAGCCACAATATCCATGTTCGACCCTGCCATATCTGCCCTTCCACTTCAGACAATTGGTGGAGGGGTTGGCACTTGCAACTCATGCAGTTGTACTAGCATCTCCTCCAGATTTTTGGACTGCTTCATGTGGGAGCTAGATTGCCTTGGCTCAATTGGTCTTACATTAGCTGTGGATGGCTTAGGTCACTGGATCCAACAATGAAGACAACCTCACCTTGACAATGGAAACAAACTTGGCAGGACTGTTCAGCAGACATGTTTGATGATGATGGGTTCACTGATAGGTTGATGATCAATCAAGATTTAAACTTGTAGGAACAATGGCAAGAATATCATTCACACCATGGGAAGCAAGGTTGGACAATGGCAGATGGAGCCAAATTTTGGGTAACAGCAATACATGGGAGATGAGCAGAAATATCTCCCTACATAGATAGCTACCAGTTGCTTCCACATGGCCAATATGTAGACCTGTCCTGCTCAGCTCTCTGCTCAATTGTCATGCTCAACCATCCCACTTAACTATCCCTCTCTCTGATATCAAAGACACCTCTCACAACCACCACAGTGTCATGAGCTACTGTACATGCCATACACTTGTATTCTAATGTGTCACACTAGGCTAAGCCCTCTATAGACCATACATGAGTTCCAAAAAAGGTTTCCACTCTGACTGTTTGAGGGATTTGACAACTACTTCTGCTTCTGATTGCTGCCTGTTTGCTTGCATGATCTCCACATCAGGAGATGGAACATCTGCATCTGGCCTTGCAGGGGCCTTTCTGACATGAGGGACTTCCGGGTGCTCCCAGGGACCCCCTGTTTCACATTCACAGATGCTGCATTGGTGGTCACAGATCCATTATGGTTGGACTTGGACAAGTATTTGGCCCCAGGTCGACATCAATTCATGTCTGGCTCACTAGATTCTGACAGAGCCTGCTTAATATACAGTGCAAACTTGTTAGCCATAACAGCTGATTCAACATGGCTAAACTTGCCTGGTGTGTGTACTTCAGGGCAGATTCCAGCTTTCCACCTTTTTTTCTGCTCATTGACCCCTCCTCAGTTGGGTGGTCAGTGAAAGGAATGCTCTCCAATCCATCTTCATCTGCATATTCTGAGTGGTCCTGTAGTTCAGTTGTGTACTCGTTCCCTGAGTGCAGATCAGGGTTTGCTGCAAATACAAGTTACAGCAGGAAGCCCACTATTCAGGGATGTTGCCATTTTCTTTGAATTGGATAGGGTGGGCAAATAAGTGTCTTCATCAGCTTCATCATTGGAATCATGGCTGTTGCTTTCCTGCCCATTATAGTCAGTTAGCACTTTATTTTGTGGACAATGCACCAGGGTCTTTGCATGGGCTGGAGGTGCAGAGAGCCACTCACTATGGGAACCATCAGCTGTTGGGGGATTTGAGTGGGAACAAGAAGGGAATGGTGTCTTGGCATGGTTTTGCCTCCCACCAGATACCTGAAGACCAGAATCACATTAGTGCTGATCTGTCATGCATGAAAATCACACATGGCACACCTTTTTAGTGGAGGGTATTGACAGAGGAATGAGGACAAAGGGGAAAAGGGTGAGAGCTAAAGACGAGCACTTGCCTTTATGAGTGGATAGAGCATTGAAAGTAAATGGTTTTGAAGTAGAGCTGTTGAGGCTTGTAGACAGTGAAGTAAAGTCGATTGACTGTACTGAGGGGATACAACAGAAACCCCTTGGTTTATATACATGCAGGTATGTGCACAGACCAGGTGACACATTTAGTAAGTAAAGTTACTACCTACTATGTATAGTAATGAATGTCATGGAACTTGATAGAATAAGTGGAGTAAAGTGACATCATAGTGGAGTCACTTAGAAAGCATGACATCATATGAGTAAGACTCATCTAATAAGCAAGTCTAGAACCAGTAATGAGAAACACCATTGACCAGTATTTCCAACACTCCCCCTCGCTCTAGAATGGCAAGGTAATGAGACCGAGTGACAAGTGATTTGTTTCGAATTTCTGCCACATAAGAGATTTTGTTAATCCATCAGCCTTTTGTTGGTCTGTCTGGATATATTCAATGGCAAAGAGATTATCTTGAACACATTCGTGAACAAAGTGCCACTGGACATCTATATGCTTTGAATGACCATCTGAGACAGGATTCTCAGCTATAAAGCGAGCACCCATATTGTCACAGTAGAGAATAGTTTTCTCTAATTTTAGGTCAAGTTCATCAAAAAGCATATTTAGCCATTTGATTTGGTGGGCAGAATCGCATAAAGCCATATATTCGGCTTCAGTTGATGAAAGTGCAATAGTTTTCTGTTTGCACGATTGCCAAGAAATAAGGGAGGTTCCAAGAAACATGGCATATCCGGTAGTAGAATGACGAGTGTCCACATTGGCAGCCCAATCAGAATCAGTGAATCTGAAGATGTGAGGTTCAGTCCCAGAATAATAAAGCACAAATTTTGGAGTAGATGCAACATATTTGACAATGTGCAGCGCCTTTTGTTTGTGATCTTCTGTTAGATTAGCCATATATTGCGACATGCGAATAACCACGAAAGCAATATCTATGTGAGTTCCCAGAGCCATATAAAGTAAAGATCCAATAATAGATTGATATTGGGAGCGAAGTGAAGAAGAAGCTTGATAGGAAGCTTTGGGTTTCTTCGGTTGGTAGCCAGAGGGAAGTGGAGTGCGAACATTATGTGCATTCTCCATTTGGAACCATTTGATCACCTTTTTGACATAAGGGATCTGATCCAGGTAGATCTCATGCTTAGCATGGTTTCTGTGGATCTGAAGACCTAGATATTCTTTGCATTCGCCTAGGTCTCTTGATTCCCATTTCTTCATGAACTTGTCTTTCTTTGCTTTAAGAAGTTTAGGATGTGATCCTAAAAACAATCCATCGTCAACATAGACAAGGAAAATAACCATGCCTGCATTGGATTTAAATATATAAATCCCTGCATCCACTTTGGATCAAATGAAGCCCATGCGAAGTAGGGAAGCATGTAAGGCTTTGTTCCATGCTAATGCTGCTTGCTTTAAGCCATAAAGAGCGCGCAGCAACTGATAAACCTTGTGCTCTTGACCTTTCACTTTGAAGCCTTCTGGTCGTTCCATATATATTTCTTCATCCAGATTGCCATAAAGAAAGGTAGTCTTGATGTCCAGGGCACTCATTTCCCAGTTTCGTTGAGCAGCAAATGACAGTAGAATTCACACTGTCTCAAAACAAGTGACTGGTGAGAAGGTATCTTCAAAGTCTGTTCTGAATTCTTGTGTGAAACCTTTGGCCACAAGATGAGCTTTATAGTGACCATCGCTTTTAATAGCAAAAACCCATCTGCATTTAACTGGTTTGTGATCTGGTTTTGGATCCATGAGAGTCCAAACATTTCTTTCCTCGATTGACTTAATCTCATCCTTCATAGCATCGAACCACTTCTTTTGGAGTTCTGGATTAAGTTTAAGGACATCTTTATAATGTTCTGGAGATTCCTTGACATGTGCAGCAAGAAGGAATTCAAAGGTATTAGCAAAATACCCTTTTTGATCTTTTTCTTCTTCCTCAATGTGTGCAGTTCAAGAAGGACCTGCTTCAGGTGGAGTAGTTGACTCAGATAGAGGAGTCAAGGGAGACATGGGAGGATGAGAAATCCATTCCCTAGGGACAGAAGGAGCCTGTGGCCTAACAGGCGATGGAGGTCTCCTTTCTTCCTGTATAACTCTTTGCTGCTCCCTAGTATTGCGAGCATGCTTCTCAGCATTTCTAATCCACTCCTGAGCTGTGTCCCTATTTTCACGAATATCCCTTTCAATCTGTACAGGAGGACAAGCTTCATAGACATTGTCAGGTTGAGAAGTAGGAATAATTCTGCATTTAGGATGAGGTTCCCTTTGTTCAGCTTGTTCCAGGTGTGCCCTTTGAAGATTTCTATTATCACCGGGAACAGGATATGGTTGGTGAGGGTGTTGAACAAGATTGGGAGGAACAGCAGGTGCTCTGTGTGGTCTAGGAGGTGGTTGTACTGGTCTGTTTTGTTGACCACCCTGCTGTGGGTTTGGATTACAAGGAGGTTGTTGTGGATTCTGTGGTTGGACTGGATGAGGTCCAAGGTTGGGAGGATCAATCCCAAAATCTGGTAGGTTTCCACCAGCATCACTAGAACCAGAAGATTGGTCATTATCGGAATCAGGGTCACTTGAGGTATCAGATTTTCTTTGAATACTATCCAAACAGAATGGAAAGGAGTCTTCTACAAACTTGGCAGTATGAGATAGAATGACCTTATGGCCATAAAGAAATTGATAGCCTTTTGTTTTTGGTTCATATCCTAGAAATATCATTTTGATTGCATGTGGGTCCAATTTGTCTTTTCTTTGTTCCTTTGGTACCCAAACATAGGCTTTGCAACTGAATGTGTGGAAATAAGAAATATCTGGAATCTTGCCAGTGAAAAGTTCAGCTGGTGTCTTGAATTGAATCCTTTTGAGCAGTGTTCTATTGTACACATGTAGTGCACAGTCAAATGCAAAGTTCCAATATTTCTTCAGAACACAAGCATAATGATGAATAGCTCTGGATTTTTCCAGGATAGTTCTATTAAATTGTTCTGCACAGCCATTTTGTTGTGGTTGATCAGCTATAGATAGCTGATGGCCAATTCCTCTTGAAGTGAGGAGCACTTTGAAAGTGTTTCCCATAAATTCTCCCCCTCAATCTGAACGGAGAGTACCCAGTTCAAGATTGAGCTGGCGTTGCATAGCAAGTAGCCAGTCAGTAAAGTGTTTGTAGGTATCAGATTTATTCTGCATATAGATGCAGAAACTGAAGGAAGAGTAGTCATCAAGTAGTGTGAGAACATACTTGGACCGAAAGTATGATTCGATGGGAAGTTCCAAAAGGTTGGCATGAACAAGTTCCAATGGGCAAGTAGCACATTTCCATGATGGTTTAAATGACTTGGAAGCCATTTTGCCTTGTGCACAGCCCTTGCAGGACTGAATCCCATGTAAGGGGATTTCAGGAAGACCTAATCAGCATAAATGGTGCATGATATTGTTGGCAGGATGTGCCAGCCGATTGTGCCAAAGAGATTCAGCATCCATTTTAACCATTAGGCAAAGGACTGAAAAAGCATTGGAGGGTGGAAGCAGAATGCCCACAAACCAATGTAATGGTGAATTAGGTGAAGCTAATCGTGCTTCAACTAAAATCCAGCCGTCAGGTGTTTGGATTTCTTCATTGTATGAAGTCACTTCGCTTCTATATCCCCTTTCTAGAAGCATATTTCGAGAGCAAAGTCTCTTCAAAAATTGAGGGCTGTATACCACATTTTCCAAGGAAAGAGTGGAGCCATTTTCTAGCTGCAACACTACAGTTTCTTCACTGATAATATTGACTCTTTGTTTTCCAGCAGTATTAGCCAACTGTGGGGTCTGATATTTCTTGAAAGACAAGAAGTCAGAGTAGTATGGAGTCACATGATGTGAAGCTCCAGAGTCAAGCATCCAAATGGACTTGCCTTTGGGAAGTATGATGTTGGCTGACATGTCACATGGGTAACAGTCAAAAGCATCATATGCATTGCAGTCAAATTCACCAGGGTGATAACCACTGACAGAATTCTCCGGGTCATAATCAAAGTCTGGTACATCAAGACAAATAAAAGGACAAGGACAAATATAAGTCCTCAGATTTGGTACACTCACATGAAATTCTGCTAATGATGTTTAAGTGGTCTGCTAGATTTTTGGGAAGACTTGGAAGAATGTCTGTTTCCTTGAACAATCTGTGACACATCATCTGCAGAATTCCTCTCTCCTGCCACATGTATATTAGCCAGGCTGGTAGCTCCCATTCCATTCTCAGGTTGGATGGGCAAGCTATGTACAGCCCTGGTTCTTGACTCAATAGAGGGAAATGGAATCCTCCTCAATAGAGGATCCAGGTTCTCCCATTGTAAGGATTCCTGAAGGGATAAACCCATTCTGAAACCTGTTGAGTCTGAGTGATATGCACACATGCAAATGGTGCAAAGACAGGGAGAATTAGATCTTGGTATGTTGACATGAGGAGTCACTGACTCAACTTCAGTAATGAAGGAGTTCTGTATCTCCTCCTGATACCATTCTGAGAGAGTACTGTTGGGTTGGATAGGTAGAGTTGGAACATGGCCGACATGTTCCATAGCCATTTCAATATCCTCAGCAGTTAACTTGGGTGAGGGAACCTGAGAAGCAAGAATAGTGTGGGAACTGAGAGTGGTTTCCATTTCAGGATGAGTGGTATTTTTGTTAGATTGATCTGGAGAATATTCTGGAGAAGTATGGCAGAAATTGATTGCATTAATATCAAAATCATCAGAGGGATAATCCTCCGGGACTTCTTCAATTGATGCGAGGTTAAACTCCTCAGCACCTTGTCCAGGGATGTCA